GGTAGCTGAGTCGATGACCGGCCTGTGCTTGCAGGACAGCGAGACGTAGGAACTTGGGAGCATTTGGCCCCACAACCCCGCATCGGTCCCACCAGCGTGGCCTCACGGGCTGTGCAAGGCCGCATGGGCGTACAATCACCTCGCACGGCCCACGGGTAATGCCCTCACGAGCCCGCCAGGTCATCATCTATAGTCCCTCTCGGAGCTCCTAGCGAGTGCATTGGAGTGCTCAAGCTTCGGCTCCGATGAAGGCAGCGACGGCAGCTGGGCTAGTGCTGATACTTCCGGACTCAACAACCCGGGGGCTTTGTGCCACTCCCGTGGTGCTAGCCGCTATCTCCTCAAGGATTGTGATTCCGACGAGGAAAGCTATGACCCATCTTGTGAGTGCTTTATGTGCGATGGAGATGGAGACTCCAGCGAGCGCAGCGGCGAGCACACCCCGATTGGCGTCGCCGTGGAGTGGGGCAGGGGATCAGTCGTACCACCGCCGGTAGGGCAACTGCAGCCCCATTTGGAGCAACTCCGAGAGCTGGAGAGGATGCACGAGGAGGAGCGACGGCAGCTGGAGCAACTACTCGCGGCACTCAGGCAAGAACCTGGGGATCACGGCGACGGTGGCGCGGCCCGGCGCAGGGCTCGCCATGTCAACCGGCGCATCTGCAACGACGATGGCAATGAACAACCACCACCCTTCACTCGCGCAAGCCAGAACGTGGCTGCTGCTGTGAACCTCCTACGGTCGATGCCCAAACCATCGACTTCGGAGGGACAGCAGGCCCACGGGGAGCTGCGCACCCTTCTCGAGCGGGCTACGATGTAGCAGGCTGAGAGCTCTATGTCTCGACGACACGGGGCTGCACCGATAGCCCAACTCGACAAGGAGCCTTCGGTTCATCCTGAACAGTAGAAAGTGGGGAACAAGCCCCCATCTGTCCATGATAGCGTCGGCAACAAGTATGACGCGCGCAACATCCTCAACGCGCGTAAAAGGCACAAAGAGGATGGTGCCAGCCATGGTTACCACCCTTGCCATGGCGGCCGCTACGACAGCGGGGAAGACCGGAGCCCATCACCCGAACCTCCAGGCCCTCTAGTCTTTAGTCGGGCCATCCGCAACACGCCATGCCCGTCATGGTTCCGGCCACCCACCACCGTGGGTAGATACTCCGGGGAAACCAACCTTGAGCTCTGGCTCGATGAATACCATCTATCTTGTCAAGCGGGCGACGCGGACGATGACTTCTTCATTATCCGCAACCTCACACTATTCCTGGCCGACTCAGCGAGGGCCTGGCTAGAAAGCCTCCCCGCTGACCAGATTCACGATTAGTCCGACCTGCGGAAAGTTTTCATGGGGAACTTCCAGGGCACCTATGTACGCCCTGGTAATCCCTAGGACCTCATACGCTGTCGGCAAAAGCCGGACAAGACTCTACGCGAGTACATTCGGCATTTCTCCCGACAGTGCACCGAATCGCCCAGCGTGACGACGCCGAAGTCATCGGCGCGTTCCTCGCAGGAACCACCTACAAAGAGCTAGTCCACGAGCTGGGGAGCGATCGCCCATGTACCACTAAGGATCTTTTTGATATCGCCACCAACTTTGCCTCTAGCGAGGAGGCAGTTGCGGCTATTTCCCCCGACGACACCGAAGCCCAGGGGAAGCGACAGGAGAACGCCGGCGAGGGTGGCTCCGGCCTCAACTCCAAGAAAAAAAAAGAAAAGACAAGTAGCCACGCAGGGATCCTCTCATGGTCATAGCAGAGCGCAAGAACCCCTGGGCCCCTCCTGAATGGGGCTCGGGAGTTTTTGACGAAATGCTCGAAAAACCATGCCCATATCACAAGGACCTAGTCAAGCATACTCTCCGGGAGTGCGGCATGATGAAGCGCTACTTCTCCGGGGGCGCCCAGGGGAAAGGCAATTAGGGAAAGAGACCGGAAGAGGACAAAGGCGGTGGCAAGGACAAGGATGACGACTTCCCCATTGTCAACAACTGCTTCATGATCTTCGGAGGGCCCGCAGCCTATGACTCCAAGTGCCACCGCAAACTGGAGCGCCGTGAGGCCTACACCACCAAACCAGCCACGCCCGACTTCCTCGCCTGTTCCGGACCCGCCATCACCTTAGGCCGCGACGATCACCCGGATCACGTCCCGCAGCATGGGCGATATCCGCTCATCGTGGACCCCATCATCGCCAACACACGGTTCACCAAGGTGCTGATGGATGGAGACAACGACCTCAACATCAACTACGCCAACACCCTCGATGCCATGGGGATTAGCCGGGCCAAACTCCGTGTGAATGGAGCACCTTTCCATGGCATCGTGCCAGGAAAGCGGTACATGCCCCTCGGACAGATCGACCTACCCGTCACTTTTGGGTACCCATCCAATTTCAGGAAGGAGACCCTCACCTTCGAGGTAGTCGGATTTCGCAGCACCTACCATACCATACTGGGATGGCCCTGCTATGTTTAGTTCATGGCCATTCCGAATTACACCTACCTCAAGCTCAAGATGCTAGGGCCCAACGGGGTCATCACCGTTCACACCACCTACTAGCACGCGTACGAATGCGACATTGAGTGCTGCAAGTATGCCGAGACCATCATCGGGTCCAAGGCACTTGCGGTCGAGTTGGTAGCGCGTGCCAACGAGGTTCCCAACTCCAAGCGGTCCGCCGGCTCCTTCGAGTCCATCGAGGGAGTCAAGGAGGTCCTCCTCGACCCCAACAGCTCTGACGGCAAGATGGTGCGCGTCAGCACCTCCCTCGACCCCAAATAGGAAGCAATGCTCGTTGACTTTCTCCGTGTGAATGGCAACATGTTCACGTGGAGTCCCTCGGACATGCCTAGCATTCCGAGGGATGCCGCTGAGCACTCCTTGTACATACGGGCCGGCTCCAAACTGGTGAAGCAACGTCTGTGCCGCTTCGATGAGGAAAAGCGCAGAGTAATCGGAGAAGAGGTCCACAAATTACTAGCGGTTTGATTCATCAAGGAGGTACTCCATTTCTCGATGCTTATTCTTGCTACCATCAGATTGCAATGAAAGGGTCTGACCAGCTCATGACTTCCTTCATTACCCCTTTGGGACTTACTACTATGTAACCATGCCTTTTGGCCTCAAGAACGCAGGGGCCACATACCAGCAGTGTATGGTCGCCGTTTTTGGGGACCTCATCGGGCGAACTGTTGAGGCTTACATAGATGACATCGTAGTCAAAACCAGGCGAGCTGATAACTTAGTGGCTGACCTCAATCTGGCCTTTCAGGCCCACCAAGCCAAGAACATCAAACTAGGGTCCCGAGGGGCATGTTGCACGGCTTCATCGTCTCTGAGCGTGGCATCGAAGCCAATCCAAAGAAAATTTCAGCCATCACCAACATGGGTCCGATTCGAAATCTAAAAGGGGTGCAACGAGTTATAGGATGCCTTGCGGCGCTAAGCTGCTTCATCTTATGCCTCGGCAAACAAGGAATGCCCCTCTATCGGCTCTTGGAAAAGACTGAGCGATTCACATGGACTCCCGAGGCCTAGGAGGCTCAAGGCGCTTCTGACAAGGGCCTCGGTCCTGGTGCCCCAACCGAAGGGGGACAGCTCCTCTTGTACGTCGCGGCCACCACACAGGTGGTGAGCGCCGCCCTTATCGTAGAGCTACAGGAGGAAGGTCACGCCCTCAAGGTCCAACGTCCAGTCTACTTCATCAGCGAGGTCTTGTTCGACACCAAGACATGCTACTCCCAGAGCCAAAAGCTCCTGTACGCCATCCTCATCACCCGGAGGAAGCTGTGCCACTACTTCAACTCACATCCGGTCACGATCGTGTCTTCATTCCCTCTTGGGGGCCCTCGAACTCATCGAGGAAGGCATCGCCTATGCCCCACAAAAGGCCATCAAATTGCAAGTGCTAGCTGACTTCGTGGCAGAGTCGACCGAGACCGGGACCCCGCCGGCCCCGGTGGAACAAGAGTACTAGACGATGTACTTCGGCGGGTCGCTAATGAAAATGGGGGCGGGAGCAGGGCTCGTCTTCATCTCCCCATCGGCGTCTGCATGAGGTATATGATCCGAATTCATTTTCCAGCATCTAACAACGTGGCTGAGTATGAGGCACTTGTCAATGGACTACACATTGCCACCGAGATCGGGATTCGACAACTTGACGTCCTAGGCGACTCCTAGTTGATTGTGGATCAAGTCATGAAGGAGTCGAGCTGTCACAACCCCAAGATGGTGGCATACTGCCAGATGGTTAGCCGTCTAGAAGACAACTTCGAAGGCCTAGAGGTCAACCACATCGCAAGACGCTTCAACCAGGCAGCGAACAAGCTCGCGAAACTGGTGTCCGCCCGGGAGCTGCCTCCCGACGGCGTCTTCGCCAATGACCTGTATAAGCCCTCGGTCGCTTACCCAGGATCGGAACAGGACGGCAACAAGCCGCCCGAGTCAGCCTCGGTGGCTGGCTCGGCCCTGGCCCCCACCGACCTCGAGGTCATGGAAATCGATGAAGACCTGGCCGCAAGGGACGATCCCTTGCCGGACTGGAAAATCCCATATCTTGACTACCTACTCCAAGGTGCACTCCCCTCTGATAGGACCGAAGCCCGACGCCTCGCACACTAGGTCAAGTCCTTTGTCTTGCTGGAGCAAGAACTCTATAGGCGGAGCCCCACTGGAGTCCTACAGCGCTGCATTCCACCAGAGCAAGGAAGAAAGCTGCTACGAGACATCCACGGGGGCTCATGTGGCCACCACGCTGCACCACGCACCCTTGTCGGGAACGCGTTCCGACAAGGTTTCTATTGGTCGACCGCTCTGTCCGACGCCACCGAGGTAGTATGCTCCTGCGAAGGATGCCAGTACTACGCTCGGCAAACTCACCTGCTAGCCCAAGCGCTACAGACGATCCCCATCACATGGCCTTTCGCGGTCTGGGGTCTGGACCTTGTCGGGCCGCTCCAGAAGGCGCCCGGGGCTCCTGAGAAGGACATGATTAGCAGCAAATGCCACCTTGGGTATCTAGAGTTGAACTATAGTGCAAGTGCACATACAATAGGGATAGGTGGTGGTGAGGCAGAGCAGCAGCCACAACAGAGTGTGACCGAGGAGGTATTGGAAAAGCTCTGCCCTCCAACTTGCCTAGAGAATCTTCATGTGATAGGAGGATACCTTAGTCGCCAGCTACCAAACTGGATGTGTGCTCCAAAATCGGCGGACTTTAAGAGCCTGAGGTATTTGAGGCTAGAGAACCTGCCTTGCTGCACCCAGCTTCCTGATGGTCTATGCTGCCTCCCATGTTTGGAATTACTGAACATCATAGATGCACCAGCCATCAAGCGTGTTGGCCCCCAATTCATGGCGTCATCCACCTTGGCAGCTGAAGTTTCCACTACCACTACATCTGCACTGTTTCCGAAACTGAGAGAGCTATATCTGGTTGGGCTATGTGAGTGGGAAGAATGGGAATGGAATGACCGTGAGGAGCATATTGATGTGGAAACTGGCATAGCCATGCCTTGTCTGGAGAAACTCTTGATCAGAAACTGCAAGCTGTCTTCCACCAGGCCTCGCCAGCAGCAAGAGGCATTCTCTTAGAAAACTAGACCTGTACAAGCTCACCAGCCTGACACATGTGGAGAAATTCCCTTCAGTAGTGAAACTTGATGTGTTTGACTGCCCTGAGCTGAAGAGCATCAGCAGCCTTCCCATGTTGCAAAAGATTATGATCGTTCGCTGCACAATGCTGGAGGTTCTAGAAGATGTCCCAGCACTCGACAGCCTTGTACTGGAGGACACCAGTACCACCATGGACATGCTTCCAGAATACCTGCGAGCTGTGAACCCAAGGTATCTTGATATGGCTTGCAATAAGAAGCTACGTGAATCCTCCTTGTCACCTGGTAGCTCTGAATGGAACAAGATTAGCCACATTAGAAAACACAACATTGTCTGCATCAGAGATTGAGATATGCAAGTTCAGATTAATATTGATCGAGGTGAAGGCTGAGGACCGCGCAATACAAGCTGCATCGAAGGTAGCTCATGCATACAGGTAATAATTTGCATTCTTTTCACTGGGCTCAGTCAGTTTTCAGATTAGTAGCTGTTGCTTGTGCTCTAAGTTCGTTACATTACAGAGTAGTCTAACCTCCATGCATCAATCACTGATACGATCAATTACTTGTGTGAATAGCAGGAGGAAAAGCTTTCATTCCACCACAGACACGCACAGCCAGAGGCAACATTCGATATGGTGATTAAACTGTGTTGATACAGCAAGACAAGAAGACATCCACAATTGTTAACAATCAGTTGTCTTAGAAAAAAAAAGTGTTTTTAAACACATTTTCCCTCTTTCAATCTCGCACATGTATGTTTATTGTCACCTATATTTGTAACTCATTCGGCTGAGTTGCATGATTTGATTTCTTCAAGATAATTCGGATGTTAATCTAAGACTCATGTTAAGTGTTGGTTGCTAAGCAATATATGCTGGAGAATTGTGTTCGAGATGTCAATACTTGCAATGCAGTATATGACTAAAATTCAACAACAAAAAAAGGTTTCCGCTTAGATGGACTCTCTCTGAAGCATTACCATTAGTCCATTACCATACTAGCATAAAAAGATTTGCCAAAGTTCTTAACGCTACAAGAAATGCATAGAAGATTACATCATAGCTCATGAACTTTACACCAGATAACAATGCTGATGAAATCTTACGGATGATAGGGTCAAACCATCAAACTTGACTACAATCAGGACAAGGAACACAAGCAGTGCACGCTGGCCAAACCAGGCACAAGCACAGAGATGTAGCACAAAATTGTGTACAGTGTACATGAATGAAAGAAGCAAAAGTCTGACAAATAATGATCTCACCAGTCCGTCATGATAATTCAGACAGTCTTTAAGAAATCAACAGGCAATGGAGCAACAGAGTAACTGTAGAAGAAAGAGATATGCAATCATAGTACACGTATATTTTCACATCAGAAGAGAACAGTGGAATTGCACCATCTTTCCGGAGAATGCTTTCCCCCTCCTAGACAATTGTGCTAATAAGCACACAGAAGCAGGAAAATTTCTTTTGAAGGTCGACTGGGGACGCGTTCCCCACCTGATTTTAACATTGTCATGCAGAAAAATGCCAAAACAGACAGAAGAGTACTCTGTAGGGGCTCCCAGCCCCTCCAGTTTCTTCAAAAAAAAAATGCCAAAACAGACAGAAGAGTACTCTGAAATAGCTAGCAACACAAACCGACCAAGCCATTCAAAATCACGGAAATTGCACAGGAATGAAACAGAATGTAAAAAGATGAAATATGCACGCAGAGAAGTAACCATCAACTAGCCCATCGTTATGATTTTAGTTCAATCCATCAAAGCCAAAAGGTATCTCGAAACAGCAATGCTACAATCCATGGATCCAACAATGAACCACTAGCACAATAGAAGAGATAGTGCAGGCTAGCTGAAAGCAACAACCATTATTCTTCACACTTAGTCGACCACCTAGATATTTGGGCCTGCACCACTGCCTCCTGATGGTGCATCCTCGTCGATGCCACCAGCCATGTCAGCACCAGCACCCTGGTACATCTTGGCGATGATAGGGTGGCAGATGCCCTCCAGGTCCTTCATCTTGTCCACAAATTCATCTGCTTCAGAAAGCTGGTTGCCATCAAGCCACTGGATGGCACCATCATCTGCATCCTCAATCTTCTTGTCAGTTGCGTCAAGCGTGGCGGCGATCTTCTCATCCTTGATGGTGTTATACATATTGTAGGCATAATTCTCGAGCGCTCCTCATCCTCAGACTTGTACTTCTCAGCATCCTAGACCATCTTCTCAATCTCCTTGGTCAACCTTCCTTCTCGTTTGTGACAGTGTTATTGTTCTTCTGGCCAGTCGCCTTGTCCTCAGCAGAGATGTTCAAGATCGATACCATTAGCATCAATATCAAAGCAAACTCTGATCTGAGCGACGCCCGTGGGTGCAGAAGGGATGCCAGAAGCTCAAACTGTTGTTTTCCCGGGTCCTGGTCCTTCTTGGTGGGGATGCTGGTGTTCCTCGTGATCAGAACGGTCATGACACCTCCAGCCGTCTCCAGACCAAGAGAAAGTGAACTAACATCTTACAGCAAGAGGTCGTGAACCTTCTTACTGCCCTCACTGTTGGAGCTAGACAAGCTCCAGAATGCCGTTAGCGTCGCCGGACCCGATGGTGATCACGGCGAGATAAACCCTCAGAGATGCAAAACTCAAGATCGCGCTTGATTATGACGCTGCAACCAACCGTAGCTTATACGGCCTTGTGTTCCTTGTATTTATAGACTTGCTCGAGGTTTACAGACTCCAAACCCCCCACACCACATCGCACAAAGATCGCAACGCAGTTGCTCCGCGGCGTGCGCTACGTGTGCTTTGGACGACATGGCGTGAGTCTATCGGACTCAACCGGATGAGCCGTGATCGAGCACGCCTACGATCACGCCCTCCTGACCTGACTATCACAGACTCTTAACGGACTACGATTACATATATATTGTGCAACAATTTAGCTAACAAAACACCCCCTAAACTTGATGCACTTCGACGACACCTAAAGCACTCCTCTGCTCCACGAACTTGACTCATCCCAGCGCTTTGGTGAAGAGATCGGCGAGCTGTTCTTCAGTGCCAACATAATCAACTTCCACCTTGCCTTCTTCTATGCATTCATGCAGAAAATGATACCTCGTATCAATGTGTTTACTGCGGTCATGATGCACGGGATTCTTGCTGAGTGCTATCGCGGACATATTATCCATGAGTAGCTTCACTGTCATCTCCTTAGTCCCCAACATGTCTACAATCAGTCGGTTCAGCCACATGCCTTGACACGCTGCTGCTGCTGCTGCCGCCACGTACTCGGCTTCACACGAAGATAAGGCAACAATCCTTTGCTTCTGTGATGCCCAGGTAACAAGACTACTCCCGAGGAAATAGCCAATGCCTGTTGTGCTCTTCCTATCTTCGACATCTCCTGCAAAGTCACAATCACTGTATCCAACTAGAATTGGTTTCAGTTTAGCACCTTTATCATACTTGCAGCCATATCCGAGAGTACCCTTCAAGTATCTCAAAATGTGTTTCACAGCAGCCCAGTGTTCTTTTCCAGGTGCCTCCATGTACCTACTCACAACACCTACGGCATAAGCTAGGTCAGGCCTAGTGTTGATGATGTACCTTAGGCTCCCTATTATACTCCTGTACTCTGTTGGTTTCACAGGTTCTCCATCTTTCAGCTTTCTGAGTTTCAGTCGACACTCCATAGGAGTCTCACATGAGTTGCAATCTCTCATGCCAGCAGCTTCTAGTATCTTGACAGCATAGGAACTTTGACACAAAGTGATGCCATTTGCATCTTGCTTTACTTCAATTCCCAAATAATAACTTAGAAGCCCCAAATCACTCATGCTAATTTTTTTCTTCATCTCATTCTTGAAAACGTTGATGTCTTTCACATCTGGTCCAGAGATGATCAAATCGTCGACATAAACTCCAACAAGCAAAAATGAGTTCCCGTTGCTTCTCCTATAGACAGCATGATCCATCTTGCTTCTGACAAAACCCAAAGCCAACAATTCTCTGTCAAGTTTTGCATTCCACGCCCTCGACGCCTGCTTCAACCCATAAAGTGCTTTTCTTAACTTGAGGACCTTGTCTCCATTGCCGACTACAAAACCTAGAGGTTGTTGCACATACACGGTTTCAGACAGTTCACCATTCAAGAATGCAGATTTGACGTCCATATGGTGAACTTCCCAACCTCCTTGTCTTTGCTAGTGCCAAGAAGATCATCATGGTCTCAATCCACAGCAACGGAGCGAACACCTCCTCAAAATCAACACCAAAACGTTGAGCATACCCTTTGGCAACCAAACGAGCTTTGTATTTGACTATATTCCCATCAGGGTCTTTCTTGATCTTGAAAACCCATTTAAGGCCAATTGCCTTGTGTTTGGGTGGCAACACACTGACATCCTAGGTCTGATTAGCTTCTATCGCCTGCATCTCTGCTTGCATGGCATGTCTCCAACACTGCTCGGCCAATGCCTCTTCAACTGATCTTGGTTCCTCAGCTGCAACAAGACATATGCCACTATACTCGAAATCATGTAACTCTTCTGTAGTTTCCAGCAAATTCGGTATGGTTCGATATCGCAGTGGAGCGCCATCAGAGTCAACAGACTGACCGGTGGGCGGAGTCGCCCATTGCACCATCGGTGCACCAGGGATGGAACTGGGAGTGTGTGGATGTGAGTTGGACGCACCCCCGGACGATGGAATTGACGTAGCAGGTGACCCCAGTTCAACAGCGTCAGGTTCAACATTTTCAGATGCTTCAGCGGCTGTTGTCGGACGAGGAACAGTATCCTCCCAATGAACCTGAAACATATCAGGCGTTTCAGTCGTTCCTCCATTTGCCCTGCTGTCATTCCCTTCCCAATTCCATGACTTTGCTTCATCGAACACGACATCCCGCGTCACCATAAGCTTGTCTTTCACCGGATCGTAAATACGATAACCCTTTGTCCCCGGTTCATACCCGAGAAAAACTCCTGGAACAGCTCTGTCAGTCAGCTTGCTTACCCCGGGGCCGATCAGCTTAGCATAAGCAACACACCCAAATGTTCTCAGGTGTTTGACCCCTGGTTTCCTCCCAAACCATGCTTCAAAAGGAGTCTGCCCTCTCAGACTTTTCATTGGAGATCGATTCAGAATATGTACAGCCGTTCTGACGGCCTCACCCCAGAATTAGGACGGCACATTCATACTCTTCAGTAGACAATGTGCCATCTCGACCACTGTTTGGTTTCTCCTTTCCACAACCCCGTTTTGTTGCGGAGTATACGGGGTGGTGGTATTGTGCTTGATCCCATTCTCACTGCAGAATACCACAAATGCTCCTGAATTGAACTCTCCTCCACGATCTGTCCTGAGTGCCTTCAGGCGATAGCCTGACTCTAGTTCTGCTGCTGCTCTGAACCTTTTGAAACAGGCGAGTGCTTCACTTTTACACCCAGCAGCTCAACCCACATGTATCGTGTATGATCATCCACGATGAGCATGAAGTAGGATTTTCCTCCTGGTGTGAGCGGTGTAATTTGCCCACATAAATCTATGTGCACCAGCTCGAGCCCCTATGATGCACGCCACGCTGATGCCTGAGGGAAAGGAGTTCGGTGTTGCTTGCCGAGCGCACACCCGTCACACACCTGTTCCACCTTCCTGATCAGTGGCAACCCTTCCACCATCTCCTTAACGCCAAGGTCACGGAGTGCTCTGAAATTTAGATGCCCAAAGCGAGCAAGCCGATCACGTCGCCGTTCGACCTTGTCGCTCTCGATCGCGTCCCACAGATACATAGCTTCAAGATTGCATTGCACCTGAGCGGACCACTCTTGATAGTTTGTGCGAGATAGCATCGGCCAGACAAGGTTGCCTAACGCTTGATTCCACGCACGCTCCATGGTCTCCTTCTCCTTCTCGCCACTGCTGCCTATGTCGACGGATGTCGATGTTCACGTCTTCTGGATCTTGGACTTGATGGATTCGTCCACCCAACACCTTCCTCATCGTCTCTCTGCCGCCAAACGTTGCCTCACCGGCTTCAATACCAGTTGTTGGAGCTAGACAAGCTCCAGAACGTCGTTAGCGTCGCCAGACCCGATGGTGATCATGGTGAGATAAACCCTCAGAGATGCAAAACTCAAGATCGCGCTTGATTATGACGCTGCAACCAACCGCAGCTTATACAGCCTTGTGTTCCTTGTATTTATAGACTTGCTCGAGGTTTACAGGCTCCAAACCCCCCACGCCACATCGCACAAAGATTGCAATGCCGTTGCTCCGCGGCGTGCGCTACGTGCGCTCTGGACGACATTGCGTGAGTCTATTGGACTCAACCGGATGAGCCGTGATCGAGCACGCCTACGATCACGCCCTCCTGACCTGACTATGACAGACTCTTAACGGACTACGATTACATATATATTGTGCAACAATTTAGCTAACACTCACCACTTAAATGGCAACCTGGACAGCAGCACCGTAGGCAACAACGTCATCTGGGTTGATGCTCTTGCCCAGGTCTTTACTATTGAAGAAGTCCTGAAGAAATTGCTGCACCTTTGGAATTCTAGTGGAACCACCAACAAGGACAGCATCATGCACATAACTCTTGTCCATCTTTGCATCGGTGAGGCACTTCTCAACAAGCTCCATAGCATTCCTCAAACCTGGCACGGGTGATAGTGGAGTAGAACTCAATGCCCTCACACAGTGTGCCAATCTTAATGGTGGTCTGCGCCATGGAGGACAGGTTCTTCTTCGCCCTCTCACAAGATGTCCTCAGCAGCCTCCTGAGAGCCCTGGGGTTGCCAGTGATATCCTTCTTGTTCTTCCTCTTCAACTCTTGGACAAGTGGTTCACCGTTCGGTTGTCAAAGTCCTCACCATCAAAGTGAGTGTCACCAGCATCATTGGTAGCCTCTGGGAGTCAATGAATTAGGCAGGAACAATGACAACAGCGTTCTTCAGGAAACGTTGGGTAACCCTCAAAGTGAGTGTCACCAGCATCATTGGTAGCCTCTGGGAGTCAATGAATTAGGCAGGAACAATGACAACAGCGTTCTTCAGGAAACGTTGGGTAATAATGGAGGTTGGGACTTGGGTCTGACTAAGATTTATAACGAACGAAGGTGTGTTGATGAATTAAATTATGTGTAATATAAACCCCAACGCAAGCAGACAAACACAGTCAAAGCATGTTTGTCCTCTGCTTTTTCCGACCCCTGCCAACACCTCCATATCCTCTCTGCAGATGTTCTGCTTTGCACCAGTATATCGTATACACAGATGCTCTGCTTTGCAAGGAAGGAAAACTTAACGGATCAGAGCAGATCACAACCCGAATGCTCTGCTTCCTTGCGACACCATGTATGCATGGGTGCCATTGAGAAAGGTGAAGGTACGGAAATTATTATGTACACCTAGACGAAAATAACATGAGCGCAGGAAGGAAGAGATGCGGAAATTATTCAGATGAGAAAAGTGCTGAGCATCTGACGGAGGGGATCCCTGCAACCAGCCATGCTTTAGGTGGAGAAGGATAGATGTGGATGCAGTTACCACAGATTTTTTTTTTTCGAAAAGGGAAGCTTTATTAATTTAGTTAATTAACGGTGCACATTCATCAATCATCAGGCAAGGAATAACTCGAGCTGTAGGAAAAAAAAAGGAACTGCTGAGTTGCCTTTATACAACTATATGTAATGCCGGCCTGCTTTCATTCTTAATTGTTATATATGACCTAATTAGCAAGATATACATGTGTATGTTGCATAGATGTGAGCAACAACTAGATCATTTTTGTTTGTCATTGAAAGAAATGGATGCATCTTCGATTAAGGGAAATGCAGGTATAGCGCTATGTTTGTACATTTTTTTGCCGTTTTATGTTTGTACTACTTTAACGGATATGACTTGTTCCTTTTGGTTGGTTGTAGAAAACAGAGCAGAGATATTCATTTCAAGGGGTGAAGGTGGTCGTTTGTGGTATTGGCTGCGGGACACTGTACTTTTTTTCTTTGCTCCAGGTATACTGGGTGGTGTCCTACAGCAAATAAATTAGTGTCCTACAGCGTGGAAAATAAATTTCATTGTCCCACATCCAATTTCACGGGAGTACTGTCCTGCAGAAAAAAATTCTTTACAAATTTGTGATCGAGCCACGGAGTGAACATGGGCTGCTTACCAGTGGATGGTGACATTGTGAGTTGCATGGTTGACGACCTTGACAAGAACATTATCGCCCTCTCTTGCATAAAGGGTTGGTCCTGGGAACTTGCCATTCACAGTGAGGATGGGCTTGGTCGAGCAAAGCCGTGTCATGTTCCTCTTAACCACCTGTACAAAAAGTCAAACCATGCTATCAGTGAGATGATCTGTCGCTGCCTGGCTGGTGATGTGCTCTCATGTTTTTGCTATGGAAGCAATTTTCTTGTCCTGATCAACCTTAAGTTGTGCAATATGGAATGGCTTGACTATTGTCGGAAGTTTCTGCAATACCAACGGAGAAGCCCTGTACCCTCGGTGGTGGTAAACTGGCTGATGACCATTGCATGCATGTGAGGTAACATAACTAGTGTTGTGTGGTACTGCTTTCATATATTATCAATAACATGCGGAAGTTCTGTGTGCAGCACAAGAAAGTGATGATGGTAAGCTAAGGCCTGGTTTAGTTTCCAAAAATTTTCACCCCAAACTATCACATCGATTCTTACGGCACATGCATGGAGTATTAAATATAGACAAAAAAAACTAATTGCATAGTTTGGTTGGAAATCGCGAGACGAATGTTTTAAGACTAATTAATCCATGATTAGCCATAAGTGCTACAATAACTAATATGCGCTAATGATAGATTAATTAGGCTTAATAAATTCGTCTCGCAATTTCTAGGCGAGCTATGCAATTAGTTTTTTTTATTAGTATCCGAAAACCCCTTCCAACATCCCAAAACATCCGATGTGACATTCAAAAATTTTCATTTCGCGAACTAAACATAACCTAAGCTGTCGGACGCGAAAGTGAAGGTCGGGTCGTCTTCTCGGCCTGGCGATCATTTAGCAGATGCAGCAGTGCGCCGGAGGTGGAAGCCCTTGCATGTGTTGAAGGCCTGCGGAGGGCTGTACAAGGAGGGCTATCCCGAATCATTGGCTTCATTAATTATAGATGAGGCAAAAGGAGCGCCCGTATCTACTCGGCCATATGAGAAGCGATACGAGAGATAGGTCGGACATTGGCTTCATTATAGATGAGGCAAAAGGCCTCACTCGCCTACTCTACGGGTGGAAGATATCCCAAGTAAAGAGAGAGATAGTAATCAAGTAGAAATACTTTAGCTAGCAATACAAATTCGGAAGAGACATGGTGGGGGCGCGCACCTGCGTGTGTTGAAGAAGCCCTCAATGTCGATTGTACAAACATTTTGCCTAGCTAATTGAAGCTCTCTCTTTGCTCGCAAAAAAAAAAAAAAAGCTGTGGGATGCATGTGGTCCTCACGTTGAACTTGTAATGGCGGGTAATGGCGTGGGCGCCAAGGGCCTGAAGCAGGATGCAGCTGGCCGTCAGGAGAAGCCGGACGAGACGGCACGGCATCGCCATGCCTTGTTGCCTCTGTCGATCGGATTCAGAGACTTCAGAGATGGGCGATGTACAGAGGAGGGGGGGAAGAGACTCTGGCAGTGTCCAGTGTGCATGGAATGACAGGGCAGCGCATGCTTATAATGGCCTTTGGGAGGTGCTGCGTTTGCAGCTGCCATGTCGTTTTTAATTTTAGGTAGGGAAGCCTTGCTCGCCAAGGCTACAGCTGCGGTAGGAAATTTGCAACACCACACTGTCTACTGCTGCGGGAGTTCTCTGTGATTTCCCTCCGATGTATTTATTTAATTTAACTCGTTGCATTCCATTTTTACCTTCAGTTGAGGTACACATCACAAGAGTCCCTTTCATTCGTTTGATGAATTGGGTTGGCTGACTGATATATGCATAATCTGGCTTTGCTTTGCCGACCGAGCTAACACCGCACTAGTAGTGCATCTACTAACAGCAGCTGCTGCAGCTGGCCTCTTCTCGGCCCAGGAAGGGTTTGGTTCCTTGTACTTGTCCTCTCACGGTCGCACTCCCCCACGAAACGTCAAACTTGCCGAGTGTTTTTATATTTGCCGAGCGTATTCTCTCAGGCACTCGGTAAACAAGTTCTTTGCTGAGTGTTGCGTTAAAAACACTCGGCAAAAAAAAAAACACTCGGTAAAGAGGAGGTTTGCCAAGTGTCAAAAAAAAACACTTGGCAAAGAGGGGGTTTGTCGAGTGCTTTCTTTTTTACACTCGACAAAGAAGTAAATTTTTTTCTGGGAAAGAAGGAGAAGAAAAAAAATAAAAAAAAAACTTTGCCAAGTGCCCAGATCTAGGACACTCGGCAAAGAAGTAAAATCTTTTTTCTGGGAAAGAATGAGAAGAAAAAAAAATAAAAAAAACTTTACCGAGTGCCTAGATCTAGGACACTCGGCAAAGGAAAAAAATCTACTTAATTAACTGCCCAGGCCGGCCCTCCCTCCCCTTCTTCTTCCCCGCCGAGTGCCCCCCCCTCCCTCCCTCTCCTCCCTTTCCGGCCCGGCGCCCCCTCCTCCTCTCCGCCCCCCCTCTCCTCACTAGATCCGCCTGCCCTCGGCTCCCTCCTCCTCCTCCCTAGATCTGCCCGCCCGCGCCCTCTCTCCGGCGCCGCCGCGCCGCTCCCCTCCCTCCCCTCCTCCGTCACGCCCCTCCCCTCCCTCTCCGGCGCGCTCCCGCCCTCCCCTCCCTCTCCGGATCCGGGCGCCGCCCCTCCCCTCCTCCTCCTCCCCGGATCCGGCCGCCGCCCCTCCCCTCCTCCTCCTCCCCGGATCCGGCCGCCGCCGCTCCCCCTCTCTCTCCCGGTGGCGGCGTGGTGCTGGTGGTGGCGTGGCGTCGGCGGGAGGCGTGGTGGTGGTGGTGGTGAGCTCGCCGGAGATGCCCGAGCCAGTCGAGCGCGAGGAGGCGATGAGCTCGCCGGCGATGGCGGCAGCGCTGTTGGTGGAGGGGCTGGCGTGGTGGTGCTGTTTTTTTTATTTTTTTGGAAAAATATTTGCCTGAGTGTTTTTTGACACTCGACAAAGTCTTTGCCGGGTGCCCGACGATTGACACTCGGCAAACAACTCTTTGCCGTTAAAACCTACACCGAGTGTCGTTTGCCGAGTGTTACACTCGGCAAAGCTCCTGATTCCCGTAGTGCCCTACTAACAAGAGCACTTGCTATTAAACTACCAGAACCCGCAGCAGCAGGAGTAGTAGAAAGAGCACTTGCTATTAAACTACCAGAACCCGCAGCAGCAGGAGTAGTAGAAAGATCCATCACATTCATTTTTAGTGCACCTTTACGTAACTTGCAGTTCATATTGTCCTCGTGTCATATGTACAAGCTGCAAACAACACCAACATTGATGTGAATATATATACATGATGTATGCACATACCAATACCATACCATGCTCCGAGTCCTTTTTGTCTCCCAACTAGCTACTGTAGTCCTCAATTAGATGCGACTAAATAGCTGACAAAAGTGAGCTTACTGAAGCAACATCTTCATCGTTTTTGCTGATTTCTTCATTGCTAGGTGCAGGGACCGTGACGTCTAAGAGAGAGAGGGAGGTGAATTAGACAACTTAAAATTTATTTCTAACTATGCCCTAAAACAACCTAGTCAAAATCTATGCAAGAAGTAAACTATCTAGATATGCAACTAAGGTTTTGCTAGGTGTGCTACTATCTCTACCGTAAAAGAGTTATGCAACCTAGGTTTTAATCCTATCAACTAGCCAATCAACTAAGCTAGCAAGGTAAAGCATACAACCATGGTACACAATGTAAATGTGGAAGGCAAAGGGCGATAGAGATGCAAACTCTCATTCGACGCCGCCGATATTTTTACCGAGATATCGAGAAGCACACAAGCTCCCCCTAGTCCTCGTGTAACTCTGTGAGCCATGCTCTCGGTCGGGTAACTCTGTGGATAGCCACTGGGACTTCCCCACATGCAAGTGGGTCTCTGAGATAGCTTCTCTCGGACGCGAGCTTCCGGCCAAACGGTTGCGAGCCTCATTCCCTCCGGTACACGGTGGCGGCCACACCATAAACGCGGTTGATATGGTCTCGCAAGACTACAAGCCCTTCGAGTACAACACCGGTGCGCGCAAGCACCTTATGAGCAAGAGGCATGCAAACCTCACTAAACACTAGGCCTAAACGAAGCCCAAGTGCAATTAAGTGGTTCTAACTAGTCTAAACACTTCGTAAAGCACCTACACTAATCACCTAATCTTCTCTTAAGAATTTGTGGCGGTTAGAGCACTTGGTTGGGTGGCTCAACACTCCTATATCTTCAGCATACTCCAACACAATCCAAATGGCTGGCCATGGGGGTATAAATAGCCTCCCCGATTAATAGAGCCGTTGGGAACTAGTACACACTTTCTACATATGCATTGGACGGCCCGACACTGACCATCGGACTAACTATGTCAGAGTCCGATGCCCTTCCCAAGATGACCATTGAACTAGCCATTGGAAGCCGACCGTTGACACACCCGTCGGACAGTCCAACGCTGGTCATCAGACCAGTCTGATGCCCAAACTCCTCTCTAGAACCTTTCTGGTGACTGTCGGACGCTGGCGCTGCGCTATCGACCAGTTTTTGATATGCACAATGTTATTAGGTACTTCCTCCATTTAGAAATATAAGTTCATTGTCCTACATCAAACTTTTAAACATTGACTACCAATTATAACATTTTAGATTTAGATATTGATAGTTAAGTTGAAGTTTGAATATGATAGACGTAGATGGACTTATATCTATTGCAATTGAAGGGGAAGGCGACTATTAATATGTACTCTTTGAGTCTCAAAATAAATGTACATCTCACCTTTTGAAAAGTCACTTTTTAAAATGTGACTGACTATACATATACAAAAAATATTAATAATTATAATGTGTAATAAGTATCACTAGATTAATAATGGAATATGTTTTCATAATAAATATATTAGGAGATACAAATGTTGATAATATTTTCTATAAATCTAGCCAAACTTAAAAATGTTTGACTCCTTGAAAAACGAGATGTGTACTCCCTCCGTCCCAAAACAGATAATCTTATAGCATTTAAATTTTGTCCCGAAATACTTGACCTTCTTACTTCCCAATGCACCTTTCCCAATACACCTCTATCTCTACTTTTTAGATGCATTTTGGTCTTTTATCTTCTGTATTGATCTACGTGAGAGAGTCTAAAACGTGAAGTATTATGGGATGAAGGGAGTAGTTATTTTTGGATAGAGAGGCATATGTCGGAAGGTGATCTTGGCTAATCCCAAGTTTAGTTACAATATTGATTTAAAGTCTAACCTTGTCGTGATCAGCAACAACCCTAAGTAATCTAGGGTGTGGCCCCTTAGCCCATAGTGCTATATATATATATATGAGGGGTGACGCCCCGGGCGTCAGCACCACATAAAACACAACACTAAACCAATCTACGGGAGGGCTTTGGATGAATCACACCACATCTAGGGCAAATCCGGTGGCGTCTAGAAGGCCGCGGCTACTCGGTGCCATCTTCTGTTCATTGATAGAGGCCAGGCAGCTAAGCCCTCAGCCGGTGAACCTACGTCATCTGCACTGACTTCTACATCTCTAGAGGCTCTAATAGCGTCATCATACTCTAGTATGGTATTAGATTAAGACTTTGGCACTTATAAGATTGATTTGTGATCATAAACTAGTCTATGAATAAAATTTTGTTTAAATTTATAAGATGAGTCTGTCTATGTGTCGGTGCAGAAAGTGACCAACACGTAAATATTTGTAGTTTTGTCGTACGTTGTGATCGGATGTGGCCTAGCACTCAATGACACAGGGTTTATACTGGTTCAGGCAACGTGCCCTACGTCCAGTTTGAGTCGGTCGGTGAGTTTATTCCTGAGCCCAGGTGCTCGAAGTTTAATGTGGGGTTTGTCGGGGACCGAATACTAGGGTACCCAAAGAGGAGGAGCTAATAACCATCAAACGTTGATGCTTCCAAATAGACAAGAACACAACAACACTTCTTGCCCAACGACCAAAGGTTGGCTCCGCCTCGCCCGACCCCTGAGGGCTGGCTCCGCCTTGCTCGACCCCCGAGGGTTGAACTCTGCCTCGCCCGACGTCTAGGGGCAGACTCCGCCTCGCCCGATGACTGAGGGTTGGCTCCGCCTCGCCCGACGTCTGAGGGTAGGCTCCGTCTCTCCTGGCGTTCGAGGGCAGGCTCCGCCTCGCCCGACGTCTAGGGGCTGGCTCCGCCTCGCTCGACATCCGAGGGCAGGCTCCACCTCGCCCGACGTCCAGGGGCTGGCTCCGCTTCGCCTGACATCCAGGGGCTGGGCTCCGCCTCGCCCAATGTCCTGGGGAAGACTCTGCCTCGCTCGACTTCCAGGGGCAGACTCCGCCTCGCCCGACGTCTAGGGGCAGACTCCGCCTCGCCCAAGGTCTATGTGCTACTCCTTCATAACTATGCGTGCAGATAAGGCGGGACACTCAAGTCAACCGTAAT